CACCAATTGATTGTTGTGTGATAAGGAAATAAATATGAAAATCAGGAATGTCCATATATCCATCATGGCACAAAAGGAGGGGGACAATTCCGCAATTGTGACAAGTGCCAAGCGTGCATTGTTGTATTTATTATTAAGATTATGCACCTATCAATGTAAATCCCTTGGGGGGGGAGTGCGGGTAAGGGGCGGGGATTTGATGCCTGAGGCTATCCCCCTGTCGGGCTATTGATCATGTGAAGCGACCCCGGGATCGAGACATTTGACTTTGACCGACGGAAGCCTGGTATCAATTTAGAAGTGGTTACCAAATCTGTCCCTCGAGGCTTTCTGAAAGTCATGCTTTTGGAGAAAGGTGTGTAGTTTTCATTTGTTTTAATCGCCATAATCCGATACTTTAAACTGTCATCTAAACATCTATCTAACTGTCATCTAATGTCTATTTTGAGAAAGTTATTATCTTCAAGTTCCCATCTGACTGTAAAACTCGATTGAAATCGAATTCCACCATGAAAGTCAGAGGATTTTTTAAGGGTCACTGATCCGACCTGTTCCGACATGTTGAGCAAATGAGATAAAGCATTTTACGTTTCATTAATATTATAATAGCATGGTCAATCTTCCTAGAGTGATTTTGTTGTTCAAAATAAGAGATGCTAGTGGAGAGAGAAAATACTTAATTACAGTGAGTAATTTAACGGACCTTACCTTTAGTAAGGATGTACTTTTGAAATGTTCTTTTAATTTGTTTTATACAGTATTATAGTATTGTTTGTTTAGATTTTTTCCCCTGCGGTGGGGGCTTTTTTGACACTTTTGATTGACCTTTCGTTTCCCACCCTGGGTAGTCTGATCAAAAAATTTTAAAATTTGTCAAATCCCCACCCCTTGCTCGCACTCCCCCCCGCCCCCACGGGGTTTACATTGATAGGTGCATTAGGGTTACACAAGGTGTCAACGTGATATTTAAGTTACTTCTTGTCTTATTAAAGAGAGCTTATTTCCCTTGTATTGCTGTCTCTCACAAGTGTTTCATGGTGTCAGGAATATTGAAGCGAACCTACGTGTTTTACTTTTTACTTGCGATGCCGGGAGGTGAAGGGGCCGGTGCATTGCCGAATTCTTCTGCAGATATGTCGAATATGTTAGGAGTGCTTTGTTTGTTTTACCATGGCCTCCACCACTTGATATTCATGATTCAAACGCAGCAGAAAAGTGGAAGGAGTTTGAGCTGAAGCTTGGAAGAATTTACTCAATTGCCATGAAGTTCAATCAGGAACCCAAAGCTGTACAAGTTGCAACATTGCTTTCCGTAGTCGGAGCTGAAGTGCGGAAAGTTTTCGCTATGTTTACGGATTGGGCGAGCGACACCAACCAAAACAAGATTCAGCCTGTGTTACAAAAGTTTGCAGCGTACTGTCAGCCACTTAAAAATGTGCCTTTTGAAAGATATAAGTTTTATTCTAGAATGCAAGAATCGGGAGAGTCTTACGATCACTATCAGACAGCTCTTCGACAGTTAGTGGAAAGGTGCAAGTTCGAATCGATTACCCCCAATCATATTTTACGTGACAAGCTCGTGTTTGGAATTCACGATTCAAAGGTTCGTGAGAGGGTTCTTCGTGAGAAGAATTTGTCGTTGGAGGAAACTGATGAGATTTGTCATTCTCACGAGACCATGGTACAGCAGATGAGGGTTCAATTGGCGATGCCGGTTTAAGCATTGCAGATGCTGGAAACGCGAATGCTGTGTCTAAAAAGCCTAAAAGAGGGAAATGTAGGTGCAGTGGTGGCTCAAGAAATGCTAACACGTGGGGAAATGGTTGTGAATTTTGCGGACGTGAGCATGACTTAGGGAAGCGTGAGAACTGTCCAGCTTTTGGAAGGACCTGCAATAAGTGTGACAAGAAAAATCATTTTGCGAAGGTATGTTTTGGATGTGCGCCAAAGCCCACGACTCGCACGCATCCTGTGTATTGTTTCAAAGATGAATGATGAAGTTTTTGAGTGGAAGAAATTGCGGCTATAACGTTGGATGGTTCTCAACTGGTAACGCTGAAGTTGGAATCTGGAAATTACCTTCGTTTTCAGCCCAATACCGGAGCTCAGTGCAATGTTGTTCCTTTGCATCTATACAAGAAAGCCACTAAGGATGTTGATTTGTGCAATGTGACCCCTGTCAATACGGCGATCATTTCGTATGGTGGTACTTCCGATCAATTCCTATCCTCTGGAAAGTTCATTTGCGTGTATGGCGTGGACATTTCAGATGCCTGCTTGGCTGCAATTTGGTTGACAGCAAGAAAGTCAGACCTATTCTTGGCAGGAAAGCGTGCCTGGGAATGAACATTATCCAGTATCTAGACAATGACCAGTTAAACTGACTGCAGGAGTTCGATGGTGAAGCTTATACACTAGATGTTCTGGCCAGTTCCCCGGCCTCCGCTGACCAGCTGATTAAGAGCTTTCCTCGTGTCTTTGCTGATGGCATGGGTGCTCTTGTGGGTGAATATCACATGGTGCTGGATGAGTCGGTTAGGCCAGTTCAACATCCTCCTCCCAGAGTTCCAGTTGCGATCCGCGAACGTCTTAGAGAGAAATTATTGCTTGAGTGACAATGCCCACCCCTTGGATCAGCTTGATGGTTGTCGTACCAAAGAAGAATGGCAAATTATGCATATGTTTGGATCCGATGGATCTTAATCGTGCTTTGCAGCGGGAAAACTATCCTATGCCTACGATTGAGGAAAGCTTCCAATCTTCACGGAGCTTAAGTTTTCACGTCGCTTGATGTCTCCAACGGGTTCTGGCACGTTGTTCTTGATGAGGAGTCTTTGTTTTGTACTATGTTTAATACACCGTTTGGGAGATACTGCTGGAAAAGGATGCCGTTCGGAATCAGATCTGCACCTGAAGTGTTTCAGCGTAAAATGCATGAGTTGATTGAAGGGTTGAGGGGTGTTGAGGTCATCGCGGATGATTTTGTTGTTGTCGGTTATGGTGAATCGTGGCAGTCTGCAATTAAGGACCATGACAGGAATCTTCTATCGTTTCTTCAGAGATGTGATGAGCGCGGAGTTCATTTGAACAGCGACAAGTTGCAGCTTAGAATGAAAAAAGTCCCTTTTATTGGTAACGTGGCCACCAGTGAAGGTCTTCGCCCATATCCATCTTAAGTTTGGGCAATTTCGCAAGATGCCCCCGCCGGAAAATGTAGCTGGCATTCAGCGAATCCTTGGTATGTCTCAGTACCTTAGTAAAATTCTGCCTCGTTTGTCTGATATTACAAAGCCACTTAGAGACCTCATCTGCCAAGATGCTGAGTGGATCTGGGACAAGCCGCAACAGAGTGCGTTTGAGCACCTCAAGCAAGCAGTTTCCGCTACGCCTGTGCTGCGTTATTACAATCTGAAAAAAGATGTTGCCATTCAATGTGACGCATCTCAGCGTGGCCTTGGTGTGGCATTACTACAAGGTGGGCAGCCTGTGTCGCGCACATTGACTGACAAGGAAGTAAATTACGCACAGATAGAGAAGGAGTTGTTGGTGATTGCCTTCGCGTGTGAGAAGTTTGATGCGTACATTTATGGCTGTGATTGTGTTTGAGTGCAGACAGATCACAAGCCCCTCGAGTCCATTTTCCGGAAAGAACTTTGTACAGCCCCCACGTGTCTTCAGAGGATGCTGCTTAGGCTGCAAAAGTACAGTCTGGATGTCACTTACCTGAAAGGAGAGAAGATGTTGGTTGCGGACACTTTAAGCTATGCCTATTTGCCTGAAGTCAATTCCTGTATTTTTTCGGGAGCTGGAAGAGGTTGACCACAGAGCTAACTTACCTGTAAGTGACGAGCGTTGGCAACAGTTAACCCATGTTTCGGCTGATGATCCAGTTCTGAAGCAGTTGCACACTGTCATTCAATGTGGCTGATGCCATGTCGAAAGCAATAAACGAAATGCCAATACCGCATTATAATTGGTTACGCTTACTTAAAGTAGTATCCATCTCACGTGTTTGTTTATCTCAAGCATGTATGTACCAGCAATCAACCTCTGCCATTGCAAGAAGACAGGAGAAGACCTCGAAGTGAATTGGCATAACGATCAAAAGCCCAGTCATTGGATGTGCTACCAATTTCATCATAGATTAACTCTCAGAAATTGTGTAGTTATTATTAATTTTAGCATTAAGTCTAAAGTCTTAAGATATTGACCAGTATTGGACATAAAAATTTGAATTACGGATTGAAATACCGCTTGAAAAAAAAGCTTTAAATACCAAAAATCTCCATGTCCCCCTCCAAAAGCCATGACATATCTGCAATAGACAAGTGTTTGTAGGGAGAGGTTACGCTGTATTAACTGGGCCTTTGAAGTTCAAACTTATTTTTCGAATACAAATTTTCTAGACTGACCTCCATACATTTTGTTAAAGAGTTAGTTGAGAGAATTTGATAAAGGATCAAAGCATTTCTCTTTACAGTGATCATTTTACTAATTCTTATAACCTTCTCTTGATAATAATGCATTAATTTTGTTGGTAAAAGATTGTTGTTGGTCACTCTTAGTTTTTATTTATTAATTTATACCACTACATGAGAAATTTCTGCAATTTGATTGGCTTAGAGCAGTGGTATTTCAGCTTAATTTGAAATACCTACATGTGAAAATTACAAACCTTTTGTGGGTAGTAGTATAAACAAATAATAGCGTGATTTGTACGTGATATTTGGCATAAATACCACTCATGATCTTTCAAAATTGTCTCAAATTTCACTCACCTAACAGCTCGTGAAATTACGTATAACAATTTGGAAATATCAGTTGTGGTATTTATGCCAAATATCACTACAAATCATGCTATTACCTATACAAATAATAATTATGTAATTTACAACTGATTGTAACTTCCAGGTGCCCAGTTGCATGTATGGAAGGCAATGAAATTTACAGTGTAGTTTACCTTTTTCCTTTATTTTTTCCTTTATTTATTTATATAGTGTTCTAACGTGGAGCGGCAGCATGCCATTATAGAATACAATGAGGCAGAGGGTTGTTTTGTGGTTCAAGATCTAAACTCAGCTCATGGTACTTATGTAAATGATTGTCGTGTACAGAATGCAGCTGTGAGACTTGCCTCCGGTGATGTAATAAGGTTTGGATTTGGTATCCTTTTAAAAATGACAACAACAGTAAAAGAAAGTGTGTGGTGAGTGTAGTCCTAATTAATGCCCCAATATGACTCAGCTGTTGACAGTGACTGACGTTTCGACAACCTTAAATCATAGTCAGAGTTGAAGTGAGTTGTATCTTTTCAGTTGATGATATGTGGTATTTTGCTCAAATTATATAGTTATATGAATTTACAGTGTATACCTTGTATTTGATTACACAACTTCCTTAACATGCATACAACTAAACAGGAAATGCAGGTTTTGAATTTCTTGTTGATTCATCCTCAACACTTCATTACCCATCCTTGGGTCTTTCTAAGCCATGGGAATCATACAGACTCCGCATTCTGTCATCACCAATGGCAACATTACCATCAGGTGGAGTCACCTCCCTTCCTTATATCAACACTGTGACACCAGTGAGTACTGATGGTGCACCACTGTATACAACCACTGAACCAGTCAGTTTGCCTGGGACTGGTGGCTCAGTATTAGAAGTAAGAGGCCCATCTGATCCAAAGGTTAGTATAACTTTTTCTGAATGCCAGTGTGCAACGAAAGTCATGTCTAAAAACTTGGGGCTAGTGGATTTTGTGATTGGGGCTAGGTGAATTCTGTTCTTAGCCTGACAGGCAAGTGAAGATATTTGGTGAAATTGAAATTAAAAGATGCTGAGGTAGATTATTCAATCAGTGACAGGGGAGGCTTGAAAGAAGAAACCCAGTACTCCCATTAGGAGTGGAACCTATGACCTTGTGGTTACTAGTTCAGATGCTCTACTACTAAGCTACATGAGACTCTTGTGAGCTAAGGCTACTAAACCAGGTTCACGTGACAAACATATTGCATACTACATGGACTAGAATATTGATATGTGATAGAAATGTGATGGTGAATTCGAGATCTGGTATATATATGGTACAGGTCAAAATTAAATTCAGGTAAAAGGTTGATTCTCAGTTCTCCTTGTCTCTTAACCCTAATTATTCATGCATTTAGGGCTAGGAAACAAAGGAAATTGAGAACCAGCCTAGGTTAAAATTTTGTCCTGGTCGAATTTAATTTTGACCAAGTTGTAACAAATATACAGTCAAGAGGTGTTTATTTACTAAGTGACACAGGCAGCTCTGAAAAAAAATCTGAGAGCTCCCAAGGAGCAAGGAGTAGAAACTGTGATCTTCTGGTTACTAGACAATGCTCGATAAGGCCATTAAACTAGGTTCTCCCACAAGTCTTCTTAACTCTGTGGCAGGATTTGCTTTGTAGTGTGGTTGTTTTTCAGGCTAATGTTATGCCGCACCCTCCTCTGAGATCTCGCCCAACAAGTGCTTGTGCTACCAGGACTCGACCCAGCTCTGCTGGCAGAGAAAGGATACCTGGTCGTCCTGTTGCTAGAGGTAACTATCATCATCATCATCATCATTATTATCATCCAGCCTTTTCAGTTGAGATGCTGTGAATAATGATCTTATTCCATGCATTCTCGTCTGACATCGTGCTCGCAAGGTCTTCCCTGTTTTCCGGAATTTCTTAAGATCATATCGGTGAATGAACACAACCACTTAATTGGTTTCTGTAGAAGAGGGGATTGAATGATTGCCCCCTAAAACTATAATATACAATATTATATAATAGTGCAAAATACAGGGGAAAGGATTGAGTAACTAAAAAAATGTTTAAGTGAAGTTGGGCAGCCAAAGAAGAATATTACATTTCCGTTAGCAAGAAATTTAAGGAGATTAGTCCAAAAGTAAGAAATGAGAGGAAATAGGGTTTTCAGGAGAATGTTCACCAAAAACAGTACACTGCCCTGTATACTATTTAGGAATAGACTAATCAAGTTAGACATTTTTGATTGAAAATGAATTTCTGAATATGACTGGACTAGTCTGGCCAGTCTGCAGTTCTGCTGGAGTTAAAGTTACAAAGAT